ATTATTTATTTATACTTTTTTTTTTTTTGAAAATTTTGGAAATATAATTGCAGTTTGTTCTTTATTTTTCATTTCTTTATTTTTGTTTTATTTAAAGAGGATTATATATTTGTTATTTTACACCTTTCAATTGAGAAAATGGATGAAACTGATAATTTTCGCAATGAAATGTAAAAATAAGTGTGAAAATGTCAAAAAATGAAAGATAGATACGTTTTGTACAATAATATTAAAAGGTATGGATGTTTCGTACTAATTACCATTTTAATAATTTATTTGGACTCATTTGCACTTTTTAAAAAAGTTTGAAATTATGATTGCAATTTATTTTTTAGTTTTATTTAAATAGTATGGTATATTTGTTATTTTACATTTTTTTTTTTTTTGAGAAATTGGATGAAAAATAAGATTTTCGCAATGAAATGTGAAAGTATGGATAAAAATGCCAAAAAATAAATGTATGAACGTTTTGCACAATAACACTGAAAGGTAAAGATATTTTGTGCTAATTACTCAAAAAAATATCTTAAATAAAATATGAGGAGAAATCAATAATGTTTCTTGAGAAAAAAAATGAAGAGCAGAAATAGAAGTTGGAATATAAAAAAAAATGAAATCAAATAATACTACTTCTGGGCTTGTGGCCCTTATTTGGGCTCCATTTTAATGAAATTTTGAGAAAAATATATTTTGAAATAATAATTTTTTTGATAATGCATGGTTAAAAAGTAAGAAAAAAATCGAATTTACGTATAAATTTTATTAAAAAATGCGTGCGTAAAATACCCTTTATAAATAAAGAATATGAAATCCTCTAATTTATTAAGTTATTAACAAACTTAGCGCGACACCTAGTATAAAATTACTCAAAATAGGAACAAACATTAATGGAAACCATATACTTCTTTCGAGGATTTCAATAGCGGAAAGAATTGATGCGTGCATTTTATCGATTGACATTTTAAAAACTTGTCATGTATACTAGGTGCAAGCAATGTGCAATACACGTTTGCTTAGTTCATATTTAATTTATATGGTGAAAATTAAATTTGTTATTACTGAAGATGTTGTGGGTAATGGAAGAAGTGATTATGTAATGTTTATGTAATTGGTAAAGAATCACACGGTGCGATATATTTTGAAAAGAGCATTAATAGAATGTATGGAATGTTGGTATAAATAAACATAGCTTGTAGTTTTATGAAAGGTGTTTGAGACAATTTTGATTCGAAGATGACGATCCAACAGTTTCCTCATCTTACATTGCTTCAATGGAGAGGACATTGAAATATCTATATTTTTTCTCCTTTAACTTCTCTGGATCTACAAAAAGCTGAATCATCCAGATTTGTGTTGATAATTTTTCCGCGACGCTTTGAATATATGGTTGATTTTCCTGCGAAACAAATTTTGAATGGGTTTGCATGATTAATCTAAAACCGAATTATATTTGAAATAACTCATTGTAATGAAAGTCAGGTGTTGAAGAAAAATTTAAGA